TGGGACTGCGACTTAGGGTTTAGGGTTTAGGGTTTAGGGTTTGGGGTTTAGGGTTTGGGGTTTCGGGTTTGGGGTTTAGGGTTTAGGGTTTATGGTTTAGGTGTGACATTGCTTTGGGAAGTTTCTGGGGGGTCGGAGGCTTCCCGAAGGTTCCGGCTTTGTGGGAGGGGGTCTGGAGGTTTGAGGGGTTGTGCGGTCTAAGGGAGACAGTGTCAGCCTGTCAAAGCTAGGATATCAGCTGCCGGGTTGCTAGCATCTTTGGCAGTCCCAACCCTGGCAAGCCCTGGACCCTAAACCCTAAAACTTGGTAGCCCCTAAAACCATCTGAAGCCTGAATCCTAAGCCTGGTTTAGGGTTTGGGGATCCGGGGTTGGTGTTTGGGGTTTGGAGTTCAAGTTCAAGGCCAAGGCCATACAAAATGGAGACTGGTAGCCCTTTTTGCTATGAGGGGGTCACTCTAAGGGTTGCTACAAGTTTTCTTTTGGTGTTTATTTGAGGATTACTGACATGGTCCTGGACTTCCGAACCCACCGCTTGACTTTCTAGACCCCAATCCGTTCAAACCCATACTAAATCCGCGAAGCCATTATAAGCCTAAGCCCTAAGCCCTCCACTCTAAACCCTACCCATAAACCCCAAACTTGAACTTGCTGAGGAGATGCTTGAGGGCGGAATTCGCTTCGTCGACTTTCGGATCATGTGAGCCCCAGACGGGGCGCTCTGTGGGATCATAAGCCTAGGGTTTGGGGCTTACGATCTGCTTCAGGGTTTGGGTTCAGGGTTAGGGATTGCGAGGCGATCTGCTGTAGGCTTTAGGGCTAGGGTTAGGGAAATCACGGGATACTTAGGGCTGTGGTAGAGGACTTGCTTTGGGTTGTGGGGGGGAGTTGTAGGTTTGACCTACGCCCTAAGCCCTAAGCCCTCAACCCTAAACCTTAAACCCTCAAACCATAAACCCGAAGCCCTAAACCCTAAGCCCTAAGCCCTCAGTTCCTAAACCCTGAGCCCTAAACCCTTTAGTGCCTCAGTTACCCTAAACCCTCAATCCCTAAACCGTGGTTGATGTCGGATCTATGAGCCCGTTCCTTCGTGGGCTTCAGGTCTTCGACCTGGATCCGGAAACCTTCAAAAAGCCAACCGCATCAATATGGGTTTTGGGGTTTGGGGTTTTGGATTTAGGGTTTAGGGTTTAGGGTTTAGGGTTTGGGTTTTGGGTTTCGGGTTTCGGGTTTGGGGTTTTGGGTTCAGGGTTTGGGTAGTTCTCTAAATCAGGGTCCCTCTTAAGGGTCCTTTTTACAAGGGTGCCCGTGCTACATGTGGATCGAAAAACGGACCCTAATTTAAAGAACTACCCATATCGCATCGACCTGGCTCTGCTGCTAGTCTTCTTCCTCTTGCTGTCGTTGCTGTCCTGGTGCGCTTAAAAAGAAGCCCTAAGCTCTTAAACCTTAGACCTCACACCTGAAGGCCGTCCTCCTCCACATATGTAGAGGGGGCATAGGGCACCCTACCGGGGCCGCAATGCTTTAGATTCACGGTTGCGGTCTCGTTATCCAGATTGAGGACGTACGATGTTTCCCCAAAGCAGACAGCCCGAAAGCTCGTTCCGCTCGTGTGCTGGTTTCCATGTTCATACACAGGAAGGAGCAGGTTGAAGGCACTTCGACCGAACACGAATCCCGAACCACATTTCGACCGCTGTGGAGGTTAGCTGTTCCGCGTTGTCACGGCACGTTTTCGGCCATGAATCTGCCTCTGAACCCTACACCCTAAACCCGAAACCCTGAACCTTGCCCTAAACCCTAACCCTAAACCCTCAACCCTAAACCCTGAACCCTAGGCCCTAAACGCCTCATGCTGTATGGGCTCTTGTTGGCAGCAAGGCCTGGAACCAAGATCAGGCGGCAACCCGAAACCCCAGAGCCCCCCAGAAGCCCGAAGTCCTAAGCCCCGCACCCTCTAGGGTTTAGGGATTTAGGGGTTTTGGAGTTTAGGGGTTTAGGGTTTAGAGAACCTTATGAAGGGCTACGCAGGCCCCAATAAGTCTTCAAACTCAAAGCCCTGGAGCATGTTTTCCCGAAGCCCACAGCTGTAAGCCCGACAGCCGAAATCCCTAAACCCTGCAGGGTTTAAGAATCCTAAACTAAACCCCTAAGAGCCTAGGAACCCTAACCCCAAAGACTTTAAGAATCCTAAACCCTAAGAGTTTAGGAACCCTCAAGCCCTCCAGTGAGCCCCCTTCTAAGCCCTAAACCTAAACCCTCCTACACCCCCTCGAGCCCTCCAGTGACCCCTGGGGGAAGAGCCAGGGCAGCCTTTTCAGGTACAGCGTCGGCCCGGATCGCATAGCCGGGAGAAAGGCAGAGCGGGTTGCGGATTGTTGAAGGGCCCCAGGGCTGAATAGATTAGGGGTTTAGGGTTTAGGGTTTAGGGGAGGGCTCTGAAGAATCGGAATCGGGTTTAGGGTTTCGGGTTCCAGGGTCAGTAGGCTTGATATAAGGGCGGCGTTTATTGGGGGTGTTATCGGGTTGAAAAGGCTTAGTATAGCGGTCTGAATACTTTGAACAGGGGGTTCTGAGGGGGCGTATTACTGTAACTACAATAACGAACCCTCAGGTATAGTCTTGCTGACTCATCGAATCTAACTTTCACAATAGGGGTTGAGGGGTTTTACGGCTTTGGCTTTGCAGTTCTATGCTTGGCAGGGTTTTAGGGCTTTGGGGTTGGGGGTCTCTGGGATTTTAGCTTCGGGGGTTAAGCTTTCCCGGTTCAGCCTCTGCGTTGGTTTTAGAGCTAGGTGCAGTGGCTTGGTTCTGAAGGGTTAGGGCCCGCCCTAAAGAAGCAAGTCTCTGTCCCTGGCACGGCGCATAACGCTTAACTTCCTCAAGCTCAAAAATCGTGGCCTGGAGGACTGGTATTGCCTACACGGCTGTGACGCCTGGACGGGCAGATCTTGCCTGTAGTTCCAGGGGTTTCAAATTTGTTTGGACGGGGATGGACCGGGTTCTTGTTACGCAGATAAGCGTGCTCAGGCAGTGCAAGATTTGGAAAGTGACCTGGAAGCTCTGAGCCGCGAAGCCTTAAAGCCTTATCGCCCAAATGAGAGGACCTGAAGGAAAGAGCCCCGACTTACATCCGAAATCCTGAACCCTTAGATAAACCGTAAAAGGACAGAGCCATTTCCCAACGACCTCCACTGAATCCTGCCAATCCTGAAGTGGACACCGTAGATCTTGCATACCCAGCGTACGTAGCAACATCAGTGGGGTCTAGGAGATACAGTGGCATGTCTGTTCGTGGTTCTTCTTTAGATGAACGTACTCCCCTTGTTGCAAAACTCCTCCACCCAGGAAGTCTGACCAGAAAATCTCGTGACCTGTGACCGTGTATATCGCCAACCGAAGCCAAAAACCCTCAATCCAAAATGTCATGTTCGCCCTGAAAGGGGGTGAGGGTTTCGGGGCTGAGAATTTCCTTAGCGACCCCGGAGTCCAGACAAGCCCAGGACCTCCATCCCGGAGTGCAAATATGTTGACTGCTGAAACCCGGGGTCCAAAACCGAGATGCCTTGGAATTTGCCATGTGAATTTTGAAGGGACTTAGAAAGGTGGCTTTCCTTACAAGTGATCTTCAAATCCTTATAACCTTGATTCAGGTATGTGCGTAAAAATGCTCGTAAATTTCATTGTGGTAGTTTCAATCCCTAAACCCTAAACCCCAAACCCGCGACAGGGACCTCGAACACTGGGATCCTAGTCTCGGGCCCCGGGCTGGTAAGAAGCACCCTTGTGCTGTTCGCTTATGTCTGGTTTGGCGGCCCAGCACCAACGCGGAAAGCTTAAAGCCTACATTCTATATCCCTAAGGCTCTAAGGACTCATATTTTCAGGCTGTTGGGCCCAAAGACCATACGATACAAGGCTTTTGAGCTATTTTGAGCCTTAGGGTATCCTAAACCCTAGCCAAGGAATCCAAGCGCAAAGCCATCGAGTATTTGCGCGAAGTCCATGCTTGGCTTCTCAGCCAGCAGAGATTCAATCTAGAGTTCAGAGAGACTGAAATATTGGGCACTCCACAGCATCCTTCAATGGTCATTCGGGCTTTAGGGTTTGGAGCCATTTCTGCAACTAAGTAACCCGCCCCCCCCCACTTTCTCTACTGACAGTTACTATTTCGACAGACGCCTCAGCCTGCAATATTCTAGGCCCGAACTTATGGCCCTCGATAGCAGCAAAGAGTCGGTCCATGTCTGGTTCAGGGTTTGGGCGGTTTGGGTATTGGGATGGGTGCCAAGTATTTAGTGATTATTTTGTGTTTAGGGTCTGGTGTGAAGATGTCAGCTTTCCTTGTGCTACCTTTTTAGAAGCAGTGGCTCCACATCGCAGCTTCCATCGAAGCCTTTGGTCCAAACATTTTTCATCTTTCCCCCAGAGCCCTTGCAACCTTTGCAGCTCTTGCTGCATGCGCAATAGCGGCGATCGCAACGTGCGCGCTAGCTGTTGGCTGATTCCGCATTCACGAGCCCCAAAACCTTAAACCCTAAACCCTAAACCCCAAAAACCTTAAACCCTAAACCCCCAGCCCCTAAACCCTAAGCCCCTCAGCCATGGAAAGGGGCCTCTGCCTCTGCTTTTAGGGTGTTTAGGGCTTCGAGTTGAGGGTTTCGGGGCGCATGAAGTTAAGCCTCAGCCGGTGGCCCTCCTTGTATAGTAGAGGGTATAAAGTTGGAACATTATCATCCTCATGCTCTTTGAGGTAAAGTATAAGGGATCCTAGCGCTTATCGTCCTAAATCCATGTTCCAACGTTCTGGGATTCCCTGTAGTGATTGCAAAGAGACCGAGATCGTGCAGTCGGGTCAGCGCAGCGCGCAGCACCTGCCCATGCCTACGTTTTTCCCAAGGCAAGAAGCCGGTCCTACAGGCGGCCTGCCCAATTTCCAGCCAAACGGCGAAATTGCCAGCTGAAGCTCGCCCCTTAAACCCTAAAAGCCATGCCCAGGATGGTGGCCCATCCGAAGGAGGCGACGTTTGGGGTTTTGTGGGTTGGTAGGTTTTTTTTTCGATTTGCGGTTTAGGGTTTAGGGTCAAGGGTAAAGGAGTTAGGGTCTATAGTGGGTTGATAGCGTATGGGTTTGCGGGTGTAAAGGCTTGCCGGTATAGGGTCTAGGTTTTGGGTTTGATAGGATCGGTAATCAAATAGGGTTGATAGGGTTTATGGGCTAGGCTTTTGGATTCAGAGGTCTAGGTTTTCGGGTTTCAAGTTCAGGGATTTAGGTCCACGATGAAGGTTTCAGGCTGATAATTAGGTGTCTGGGGGTCCAGGGTACGAGCCTTGAAAGGGGCTCAGTCATTTTTTGAAGGGTGTTGCGTCTCTGCGTGTGCTTGTGTGTGTGTGTGTGTGGGTGGGTGGGTGGGTGGGCAGTTTCTAAGGATGCGATAGACTGCTTAGAAATGCAGACCGCTGATGCAGAACTATCATTGATTTCAGAAGCAGGGGGCCTGAGGCTCAGAGACAGGACTCGGGCCAGCGAGGATGCCTGTCTGCTGGGTGTGATATGATCCCGGGACGCTGGGATCACGTACCGGCTGAGAAGACACAAGCAGCTTCGTGAGTCTGAGATGTATGGAACAATGCAGTTATACTCTCTAAGAATAGTTGTCATCTGGAGCTCGGGGTACGGAGTATCATCTTTATTCTGAATGCACGCAAAAGGATCCTGAATACACCCAAAGATTCTGAGAAGAGCTCTACTGAATACACCCAAAGAGAGCTCCATTGAATATACCCAGAGATTCTGAGAAAAACTCTGCTGAATATACTCAAACAGAGCTTTTACTGAATGGACCCCGATTTGACGACGACGAACTAGCAACCAGCTATGACTGGGTATGCGCGTGTGCGCGTGCCTGTGCCTGTGCCTGTGCGTGTGTGCGTGTGTGCGTGTTGTGTGTGTGTGTGTGTTTGTTGTAGTGTGTGTAGCGTGTGTAGTGCCGCGCATAAAACCCGAAACCCCTAAGAGTCGAGCCCATAGAAAGGAGCTCCGCAGAGGGCCCTAAGCCCTCAACCCCAACGCCCCAAACCCCCTGGCCCCTGGAGCCTTTGAGTTTAGGGCCCTGAGGCCCCCAAACCCTAGACCCAACCCTGTAGAGCTGAATCACGGCCCCCCTAAGAAACCCAAAGTCCAAGAAGAAGTCGTCGTGATCAACCCTTAAGCCCAAAAAACCCTGAGACCCAACCTCAGCCCGAAGCGGTCCCCGAACCCGATGTTACCTTATTATAAAAATTCCATTGCTTAAGGCTCCTATATGACTACGCCCTGAAACTTAAAGGTCGTGGTGATCTGGGCTTCAAGACATGGAAATACGGCACTGACTGGCACCGATCAGAAGTCTGGCTGCAGGGGTGCAAGGATGTAGGGGTTTAGGGTTTGTTTAAGGGGTTTGGTGTCTTGCTTTTTTTTCGGTGGCTTGGCGTCTTGGATCTGTGTTCTTGAGGTTTGGCAAGGCTTGACAAGGTTGTCTTGGCTTCGATACGGCTTTGCACACTGTCGCGAAGCTTCCTCGGGTTTGACACTTGCGCAGGATGTAATATAGAGGCCTTGATAATTAGAAAAAAGGTTCGGGGTACAATCTACTATAGTTATAATACGGAACCCCCAAAACCCTGTATTGATTATTAAGGTCCCTACATTAGGATTGCTTTGGGGTGACTTGGGGTGTGGTTGAATCTTTGGGGTATGGAGCTCGGCACTCGACGTTGTTCAGGGTTTTGGGGTGCCTTGTGCCCTCAACACCACCGAAACCCCGAAACGCAAAGCGCATAAGATGCCCTAAACCCTAAACCCTAAACCCTAATCCCTAATCCCTAAACCCTAAAGCCTAAACCCTAAATCCTACCTGAGACCAAGAACTCAAGAATCCCAACCCCATGCTTTGGGGGCAGCAAGGACGGGTAAAGCGGCACTTTCCGAAACCCCAAATCCACCAAGAAAGTTTGGGGTTTAGGGTTTAGGGCTCAGGGTACAGCAGTCTCCAAAACCCCCAAACTAATGCCGGAGGTATCCGGGCACCACGCCGTCTGAGAGACAGGCCTTCTTCGAACAGGCCCACAGTTAGTTTCTCGGGTTTCGCTTTTGGGGTTGGGGTTTCGGTCTCGAGGGTCCCCATCGAAAGGATCAGCCGTTCTAGGGTCTATGCTAGGGGAGCTTTGGGTTGAATCTAGGGTTTATTTTTTGAGGGGTTTTAGTAGTCCAGGATTGTAAGCTAGGGGCTGTAAGGGTTAAGGCCAGAGTGTTTTCGGGGTTCGGGGGATCGTCGTACCTGGTTCTTCAGGCTGTTTTTGGGGTGTTTAAGTTGGGGTTGTAGGGTTCAACTCGAGGGATGTGACTTCACTCTTTAGGGGTTCAATGGCTTGCAGGTTTCTGTGCCTAAGGTTTGGGCGGGGGGGAGGCCATCCTAATGAGAGCCTCGAACATGAGCTTCAATAAATTTGCTCCGCGAAGCACACCCTGAACCCTCTCAACCCCCTAAGCCCTAAACCGTAAAGCATGAGACAAGGCGATACCAGCTCAAGGTGGTTAGAGCCGGACGGCAGAGGCTTCGGGATTTGTGGCACTTGTTCGTAAGTCCTCAGGCTCCATGCTCGGATGTTCAGGCCATTGCGCCCCTGTGAACACCAAGCATCACCGCGCCACTTCACCGGGTCTCCCTTGCAGGTGGAGGACGTTTTCGGAGAGCTTCTCATGGAGAATGTGAGCTGCTGGGCATCATTCCGTAGACCCGCGAATCCCCCCTAAAGCTCCACTTCATAACGTTGCTGTCGGATGAACCATAAGGCCGAAAAGCCAGAGCCGGAGCCCAGAGGGGTGTCTGTCTTGGTTCGAATCCTCGGAATGGATCAGCAGGTCGACTGTGAGAGTCAATTCCTGACAAACGGAGATCGCCGTGTAATACAGTACCTATATACCGATACTATAACATACCCCCGGCTGCCCCTCTTGGGAAGGCCCTACTAAACTTGGCACAGCTTAGCCAAGGAGGCTGGGGAGAGTAAGCAATATAGGCATACAATATAGGGGGCTTGAAACATTACCAGCTCATTTTATTCCTTCGTCACTATATTTTGGTGTACCCTAAACCCTAAACCCTAAGCCTTAAACCCTCAACCCCCCAAAACCAAGGCCCCAACAGTAGCACCCTGCGATCTCGCTCTTCCCCGGAGTCTGGCCCGGTCCAGTCAGAGTGAAGTTTGGGGTTTAGGGTTTAGGGTTCAGGGTTTAGGGTTTAGGTTTAGATTGAGGGTGCAGGGTCCCTTTGTTTAGATTAAGGGCGCAGGGTCCCTTCCAAGATACCTCATTCGTGCTAGCTGCATCGGTCTTCGTATGTCCATGAGGAGTTGTTGAAGCCTCTCCCTTATTCTTCTTGCCCCGGGACCTTCCTTGATGAGAGAGTTCTTTTCTTCATGGAATCCGACCTGTGCGAATCCCTCCAAGACTTTCCAAGCCCCTGCCGTTTAACATTTTAACATTCTTTTCCCTGACAAGAAAGCCCGGTTCAGGGGTCGCAACATCAACGAATCCGAAACTACACTCCAACCTCAAGTCCACTGTGCCACACAGCCCAGACCCTTATAGCTTACCGTCTTATAGTATATATGAAAGTACCTTATGGTATATGTAGTAGTACACAATAGTATAATTCAAAAAATCAAGGTCTAAATATACGATCCTACAGTCGAGAGTGTCATGCTTTGGCTCTGAAGCCCGCGCCGAAAAAATCGGAGGGTTGGGCTTTGCCTCCCAGCCGAGGTCTGAATGAGACCAGCGTAGCAGAGCTTCAGCGCCGCAATCAGCCACGCAGCAAAATTTAGCAAGGGTTCGAGGGTTTAGGATTTAGGGCTTAGGACTTTGGGTTTGGGGTTCTGGGTGGAGGTTCAGAGTTTACAAAACATGAACACCCAACTCGAAGGTTATCAAGATGAAGAGGACTTTTGATGGACAAACCCCCAAACCTAAGCCCCAAAACCTAAAGCCTAAACCCTAAACCCTAAAACCTCAACCCCTAAGCCCTTATAAAGCAAAGACAAGGTGGGGGAGACCCTAAATCCTCAAAAGCTTGAGGCGACTGCTTTGGTTCGCTTCAGACTACGCCGAGTCGACGAAGCAACATGATGCGTTTGGAAGGGTTTAGGGTTTAAGGGGTTTAGGGGTTTAGGGGATTAGGGGTTTAGGGGTTTAGGGGCTTAGGGGTTTAGGGTTTAAGGGGTTTAGGGGTTTAGGGGTTTAGGGGTTTAGGGGTTTAGGGATTTAGGGTTGGGGGTTTGCGGCCTTTGACACCTTGGGCCTTTTGGGTTCCAGGGGTTTCTTTCGTTGGGTTAGGAGAGTTTCCATAGTTTTGGAGTGTAGGGTTCGGGTTTGGGTGTTTAGGTGCTTGGGGGGCTGGGGGGGCCTTTGGGCTTCTAGGGTGTAGGTTTGGGGATTCGAGCTGCTCACCTGTGCTTAGGGTTTAGGGTGTAGGGTTTAGGATTTAGGAGGAGTTTGGGCTCGAGGGGTCACGGGCTTCGGGGCTCGGGAGGTTTATTTTTCCGGAACCCCTAAGCCAGATACTCCGGCTCAAGCTGCCGCTTAGCGGTTCGTGTAGTTTTCAGCACGGGCAATTTGCTGCCAGCTAGATTCATATCCCAGCTTTCGACGATTGGATCTTGGTCACAAAGACGAGAAAAAACGAGATCGACATCCGCACCTTGTGCACCCTAGCATAGGGGCCATCGACCCGAGCGACCTCGAGGAGAAACCGGTCTCGAAGAAGGCGATGAAAAAAATCAACCGGAGCGGAAGTTGAGCAAGGAGGAAGCATGCACGTTTGGAATATTTCCAAGTGAGAGCTCTGCGGCTCTGCGGGTTCCTACTGGGTTATCGGGAGCAGTACCAGTCTGCATCACGTCTCCCAACCGTTGAAGTTCTCGGGCATCCGGAAGCGCTGAATCTGCAGTGCCTGTGTTGAGTGCCGCACATGCAGTAGATTAGATGCCGCTATCTCTTCTACGAGACAACCCTGCGCCCTTGACCTTTGCTTCTATGGCCACAAACTTGATAGGAAAAAGTTCTTTGAAGAGAGGCTCCTTCCGGCATACGACATCATGAAAGAAGAGCTGGGTTTCCATGTTGAATATTGGCAACGTGTTGGGCATCGAGACAGGTAAAGTGTCCACCTAGATGCCTGTCTGATGTTTCTAGACTTAGTTTGTGAGGCCTCAAGTTAAAGATCTGGTTGGATAACAGTGACTAGATCCATATAATGGGCTTGAAAACGTTATATCAACGAGAATTGCTCAGGTGAGATGCTTGCCAGAAATGCCTGGCATCCACAAAGTGGTGGACTGGGGCACACAGAACCGGGTAAATGGTTATCCCTGCCTTTCCTTGCCCAGGGGCAACCTGATTGATGTGCTTGGCTGGACACAATCAGGCAAGACTGAAGCTTCAATCTTCAACTTCAATTTTGTATGCACTTAAACCTCCAGCCTCAACGCTGAACTCCAAACCTGACGAGATTGTGACTGGGTTTAATTAGTCAGAAAGCTTGCAAACCTAAACCTCAAACCCGAAACCCAAACCATGAACCCCGAACCCTGAACCCAATAGCCCTGACCCCTGAACCTTGCATACTCAACCGCTACACCCTAAAGCCTAAATCTGGAAGCTAGACCTCGGTAAGAGCCTAGCAAGGCAGCACCGAGACCTACAGCTTGTTTGGAAGCCTGGGTCAAGGCTATGGCGCAAACCTGTGTCTGGGGAGAGAATCCTGGGGCAAGAGGTCCACAATGCCACCATCTATGTGGGCTCCTGGATTCACTTTAAAAGTGATAGGCATCCCTTCCTATCGAGGAATGGCTCACAAAGATGCAGAGCAAGCTGAGCCAAGTGATTGCATGCATGTGCGACATCCCTGATGAGGAATGGGGGGGTGCCTTTTTCAAGTTCGATTCACGATGGGTTGTTTTCATGCATACCGGCGAAGGAGCTGCATGCTGGTGAGCTAAAGAACCAACTGCAATCCCCATTCGACCAAGCTCAGCAAGCAGGATTGTTTAGTTGCAGAGGCAGTGCCAGGCATCCAGCCACAAGTGGGTGGACTATGCAAGATTGATGCATTGCTTGGCTGTTACTAACAAAAAAATGCACATGCATGTGTACAAGCTTCTGCAAAGGAGGGCTGCGTGGGGTCCGAGCCCAGAACAAGAAGACTTTGATGAGACCTTGGAGGAGGTCTGGGAAATCAATGCCCCACTTCCTGAAAGGGCAATGATCTACATACAGGATCATTGGAGGGCAGATCAAGTCAAATAGTTGGGAAGAAAGGGATCCAGAGAAGTTGAGTGGGGTCTTGTGGTTCAGGTGCTAGGTTTTCCTCAGCATGAAAGCTTGGTGAGGAAGGTCGCTTCCACCACAATGTGGAGATGAACCCCAGGCATAAAAGCCCACGGCTACACTGAATTTACAGCCAGCTGCCGAGACGGCAGTTTTCCGATTGTTACTTGCAGCCAGCCCGTCTAATCTCCTGCGTTCTTGACGGCCACCTGTGCCCAGATTCTGTGCTACCTGCTGTGGTTTGCTACGAACCAAAGTTTTTCTTTACTGATTGCTGTCAGCTTGGAGGTGCCAGCTCGGGTGGGGCCTTTTCGGCGGCTCAGGCTTCTCATGTTAGGCTAAAGATTTCCACTCCGCTGCGTGCTTCCGAATGACCGAGCAATCCACCTGAGCTCACTTAGGTTAGTGCAGGCCCAAAATCCCCGTGATTCAGTCGCCTTAAACTCCGCAATCTAAACAAAGGCTGCCGGCACAGCCATGTTGTGTTAGTTGCTTTTGGCTATGGGAGATTGAGAGGATCGCCAATACGGGGGTAAATGGTGGTTATAGGTGGGGTGAACCCTTCGGCTCGGTCTTCCACAGCCCGCCTCAGCCAGCTTGGCCTTCCAATCCCGAACAAGGCGGACGGAAAAGAGGTGTCAAAAAAACGAACCAGATACTCCAAATCGTGCTGAACCCGCAAATCCAAAGACCCCTTACGCCAAGACCCTATAAGCCCTTAGTCCTTAAGCCTTATAAACCCCATATCCATATCCGACAAAGGCCCGAACCTATCTCCCAAAGCCCCGTGGTAGCCCGTAGAGAAATCTTAAAATCAGCGTTTTATAATTATAGCAAGAACCACCTAACCTGAAAGCCTTATAAGCCGAAAAGATAGAACGTCCCCCAAAGCAACTAAGGTTGCTACCCTCGCCCGATGGTAGCTCTGATAGATAGAACTTTGTAAACTTTGCCGTTAATCACCCTTTAAGAAGCACCGGTTCAAAGCAAACCCTACAAACCTTAAACCCTAAACCTTAAACTGGAGCGAACTGCGGGGGCTGTGTGGATGCAGCGGCGAACGAAACCGAAGCAGATCCAGTTTCTGCCTGCCGGGCGAGGGCCTGGTCTGAAGAGAATCTCGCAGGACAAACTTTACTCCATCTACCGCAGGCCAAATCCACAGCAACAGCCACTGTCAGCCCGGACCAAACAGCCAGAACGCACGGCTCAACTCCAAGTGCAGAGATGGCAAGAGGCAGAACTCCAGAAATTACAGTATCCTGACAAAATCCCTCAACCCGATAAGGTCGATGTGGATGGTCCGGAGTGGGGGGATAGCTGAACGGCAGGCGCCGCCACGACCTTTGGAAGCGAGGTTTTATGAGAAAACCCTACGCTTTAAAGCCTCAGCTGGCCCTCAACCCTAAAGCCCCAAACCCCTAAACCTTACTCCGAATAACCCAAAACCCAAAACATAATCCCGAAGCCCCATACCCTATCCTTTCATCCCTAAGCCCTTATAACCCCGATCAGAAACCCGACCTCAGGAGCTCTGCGCGGGCGTGGGATGCCCGGTCCATCGACAACCAGCTGAAAGGCATAGGGTTTAGGGTTCAGGGTTTAGGTTTAGGGGGCCAAGGTATGGCAGGGTGATTTATGGTTTAGGGGTAAGGGTTTCAGCAGGGTTGAGGGTCTAGTGCAGGGTGGCTCGGGGCCTTCGTTTTTGGGGTTCGCAATTCAGGGTGCGGGGGTTCAGGATTTAGAAGATGAAAGGTTTAGGATGTAAGGATTTACAGAGTTCAAGCTTGTCGGATGTGAGGCAAAATTTGGAGCTTAGGGCTGAGACTTAGGGTTTAGGGATTTGGGCTGTTGTAAGGGTTCAGGATGAAAATAGAACACACAGAAGGTTCCGCTTGCATGCGGCACAGTTGCGCGATTTGATCGTTGTTGTCGCACGAGATAGCAAACATTGGGAAGGGGACAGGCTTCTGGGGAAACACAGGAAAATCAAGCGCTTGCGGCGGCTCTCTCACCATATCGGTCTGTCTCTGCCGGCACCGCCAGCGACTTTGTTGAGAGACAAACCCTAAACCCTAAGCGTCACCAGGTCCAAGGCGGCTTGCGCTCGGGTTGGGTCGGGCAGGAGGACGTAGAGGTCGTCGAGAAAGGCCCCTAATCGCTGGCCTGGGTGCAGGGGCGCAAAGGGGTGACAGCTTCTGCCGCGTGCTTCAGGGCGGCAGCAAGAGCAGCGAGAGGGGCCGCAGACGAGGGTCTAGGTTAAGGGTGTAGGCTTGGGGTTTAGGTTTGTTGTTTAATTGAGGTTTAGGTGTCAAGACTCCAGTCCCTCCGGATTGAAGAGCAGTCCCTCAACCCTAAACCTTTGTTGCCAACCTTGAACCCAGCAGTCAAACAGGAGAAGGCGGCCTGATGGGCAGAACCCCATGACTAAAAGTTGCATCAGCATTCCGAAAGCCTGGCCGCAGGTGGAGGTCACGGACGAGAGTTCGTCGACTTCATGACGCAAGGATCCACTTGCACAGTCATGATGACAAGCATGATGACAAGACTAGGCTGCTGCTGCTGCTGCTGCTGCCCATGATGGAGGTGATCTCCCTTCCCCTGCACTTAGGATCTATCGTGAGCAATATGGGTTCCTTATGGCATTCCCTAACGAACCCAGCTTCCCTTGGAGGAGCTAGCAAGCTCCGCGAAGACCGTGCTCGCGATCAGTTTTTGCTGGCTCCATGGCCCCATTTTTTCTCCGCTAGGGCCCAAACTCTGGACCCAAGGCCGTAAAAAGAACAAAAACTTTCACTTCTGGCTTGAGCCTTATGCTAGGCATGTGGGTTCCTAGAACCTATACCCCTCAAAACCTTCGAGAACCTGTCGAGCCTGAGGTTAGCCTGTCGAGCGGTCCTTCACAAGCTGCCGTTGAGGATGCATTGAAGCTGGACGGGCCCGAGGGCGGGTGGAACTTTGTTGTGTCATCCTCTCTTTTTTTTTGCTTCTCCTTTTGAAAATTTAGATCTGTTCAGAGGCGATTGCTTACTCTCTGATTTTTTCAAGCTTCGCGGTGAAGATTTTTGTGTTTTCTCGGCTTTTTAGCGCTTCAGGGCTTCGAGCTTACGGGCGCAATGTAGGGGCCCAGGTAATTGCCAATGCTATTTTGGGGCTTGCTATACTTAATTATAGTGTAATGTGCCTGGAAACCCCACTCTAATTCAGGCCCCTAAACCCTCAACCCTCAACCCTCAACCCTAAGCCCTAAACTCTAATGAAGGCCCCTTGAAGGGGTTCGGTTTCCGGGCGTTTCAAGGTTTGGAGTCGATCCTCCGTAGAGGGGCTGCCAGGCTCCGGGTGTTTCAGCTTTAGGGTTTAGGGGTTTAG